ACGGCGTCGTCGCGGCCCTCCGCGAACACACCCCTTTTGACAGGACCACGCGGCGTCGTCGTCCTCAGCTGGTTCAGGGGATGGTCCTGTCAATAGGGGTGCTCGGGGCGTGCGGCGCTCTCCTCCGCACCGCACCGCCACTCTGGTCGGCTGGGACTTTTCGTCTCCCTCGGAAAAATTCCCGTCACCTTTCACATCTGCACTGTTTGAATGTCACTGGTGAAAAGGGAAAAGGGCGTAAGTCCAATGCAAAGTCCGTGGACCTACGCCCTTTTCATTTTTCACACCAGTGATGTCGAGGGCGGTATAGTAGTGTGGCAGTTCAGCCCGACCGATATCACGTGCCCCCCCCCCACTTCCCCCGGTTTTAGCTTTCACTCATCACACTTGTGTGTATTCCATATTCTTAGATCACTCTCGATGCGCTCTGCGCCGCACTCTGATTCGCTCGTCGAGACAAGGTTGTGCGCCGGCCGGCCGGTCTAGGGCGCGTGTAGCTCCACACATTCTACATACCTAGAACACCGCCCCGCCCCGCCCCGGCACACCCCAGTGCGTACGACGCCCACGCGATAGGTCCGCACTGCCTCCGATGCAGCCGCCCTGCTCTGAGCAAAAAGGCGCGCTCTGCTGCCCATTCAAATTTGTAATTCCTATTCTGCATTCCTCGCAACCCTCTTTGTAATTAACTTACATTATGTTCTAAAAAACAACACGCGTAGGGCACACGCACTCCTGAGCCATTTATTTTTAATTTTTTTAGGTAAAAATTGTTGATACGGCTACACAATTGTTGAGTTGACGGCTATAGTCGTCATAATGCCATTTTGAGAGCAATATGCAAATGACAGAAAGACCCACTCACTTGTAGTAACACTGTCGCTGTATTCTTCTACTACCCGCTATTTCGTGAAAATACTACTGCCATGACTCTCGGCCAAAGAATACTCGGATCTGACCAATGTGAGCGCTTAAGTTCATTAAACAGACTTTTTAAAGTACTTAGTATACTTGGCTGGCCCGTAGTAAAGCTTGGTACGGAGCGGAAACCGTGTTGACGGCTCAACTTCAAGTGTCACTCTAACGAGCACCACGTGCGAGAACGTGTGCGACAAACTTCCTCTTGCGTTAAACCCGAGCGACCCACAGCAGGCGCGGTACCCGCTCGAGGCACCCAACCATCAAAATAAAAAATTAAAAAATAATTGAGGCAATAAAACAGCAGTAATAAAAACGTACAACAAAGTGTTTCCCGCTCTTGCAGCTCATCACCTGGACACTGAGGGCTGCGCGCGGCGCTGGTGGCTGGGGCTGCTGCTGCACTCTCCTATGCGCGCGCACACCTTGCTCACGGGGCCCGGCTGTGGCACTGCCAGCCGCTGCACTGCCGGGCCGCAGCGCCACCACACTGCTTTAAAGCCTTGCCTCTGCACGGGAGGGAGGGGGTCCTCGGCGCGCCCGGAGCCGCCGGAGGGTCCTGGGAGCGAGAGTGAGCAGGGGGGAGACAGGAGAGGGACACCGGCATGACATCGGTCAAGCCCTGCTCACCGCACACGCGGGCGAGCGGACACGCCCGTCGGCGACAACCCGTGGGACGCGAGTGTCCCTCATGCTATATTTTGTCAGGATTTTCGAACCTTTTCTTTTTACTTGATGTGTCTTGTGCCGTGTCTTTTTGTCTGGTGATTTTTTAGTGTTTGCCTGTATTTTATTATTTTCTTCGCAGCTGAACAGCTGATGCCATTCACGAAAAACAACAACAACAACTTAAGGTAAGGGTTCTACAAAAAAAA